GTAATTAACACACACGCACACACACACACGCACGCACACACACACAGATTGTTAAAAAATCATTTCACGTGTGCAGTAATTATTTTTTTTCCTTGCCTACAAGAAAAAATTGTACATCTAAATCACGAGAGGCTAATGCTGGATACGACTACCGAAGAATGAAACTCCTTTAAAATATGTGCAATTTGATGTTTTCAATAGCTTCCGTTACTCAATTAACGATAAGAATGCTGTTTGCTTGATGTCTTTTTCTTTCAATTACCGCAAATAAGGCAAAATGAAAAGTATATGTTTGTTTAAATTTAAAATAATGTCTTCGAGTACATATTTTTAACAGATTGCTCAGAAAATTTTATCAACTTACATGGAACGGTTATTACTGAGTTGCAGATTTTAAAGTTGGCCACGACTTCTAGAACAGACCATAGTTGATGTTTTTCACCACCACAGCCTTTTCCTAATGCCTACACGTCTTGTCTGGTCCAGGCCTTGATCATTTTAAACGATTTTTGCGAAGCGAATGGGTTAATTCGAAGCTGACCCATGCCTGGCTTTTTATAAATTGTTGTCACCTTAATGTAGTTAACTCTTTTAATCCTATGGCATCCTCGCAGCGCATGCCCAAGGGAATGAATGACCGGTATGAAAAATCATGGAAGCATAACTTTCAAACTGGGACTGCTATGGAAAGTCCCGAAAGCATAACTTTCAAACCAGGACCGCTATGAAAAATCACGAAAGCATAACTTTTAAACTGACAAATTACGCAGCGAAAGTAGCCAACAGGGAAGCCAGATTTCTTTAGTGTGCTCTGACCACTAGTAGTGAACACGTTACACGATGGCTGGAATTCATGTAAAGAAGTCAACTACGCATCTGACGTTCCATGAGACTGAAAGAGTTAATGGCAATCACTTTTTAGGAGATTGTAACCCCAGCCTTCTGATATCAGAGAGAGGTAAGCGAACTCCCCGGCCACCTGCACATATTTCTTGATGGGAATTCGCAGCAGGCGAACAAGCGAGCTATTCTAAACATCACGCTGCAGATAGAGACAAGAATGGTGAGCACACAGCACTGACTCAGTGCTCACAGATGGCGCGCAATTCCGCACCACGTATTGTCTGCATTGTCAGGATGATTGCTTAGTGTCAGTTCTGATAGCGCGGGATGTTTTCTTACACCTTGCAGTTATGGGTGTCTAGTGTTTGTAGGAGAGCCGGTGTGCGTTAATATAGCAACACACACACGCTCACATACACACGGACACAGACAGACACACATATAGAGGGAGAGCGAGAGAAAGAGAGAGAGATACTGAGGGGGAATAGTGAGAGAAAGTGTGAGAGAAAGTGAGAGAGAGATCAAGTGAGAGTGAGAGAGAGGGAGGGAGAGAGAAAGTGAAAGAGATTTAAGAGAGAGAGAAAGAATGAGAAAGAGGGAGAAAAAGTGAGATAGTGAAAAAGAGAAAGAAAGTGAGAGAGCGAAAAAAAGTGAGAAAGGGATAGAGAAAACGTGTGTATGAGAGAGAGAGAGAGAGAGAGAGAGAGAGAGAGAGAGAGGGAGAGAGAGAGAGAGAGAGAGAGAGAGAGAGAGAGAGAGAGAAAGACAAACAAAAATAATGTGGTGGCTTTTAACTTACCGACAATTCTGTCACATTATAATCTTATCGAATAGAAATAAAAAGAAGAAAACCAAAAAAGGCGGGGGGGGGGGGGGGTGTGGAGGAAACATTTGGTTCCCGTTGTGACGTAGTCGGTGAGCAATAAGATGTTTGGAGGTACGACTATCACTGATGACGCAGTCAGCAACCTTCTGGTGATTCATATCTTTTGTGTCTGGCAGAGAGAATCACCAGACGCAGAATTGTGTTTATTTCGACTACTACCACCACTAGTTCACACCAGCTTGGTATAAAAATCCATAAGGGGGAAAGCAAGGATAATGAGAATACAATAGGCAAATAACAATGTGCTTTCTCTTAATGGTATCCCACTCGGAGACGCGGAGTCGGATATCTATTTGGGCAGTAAACTGCTAATTAATGTCTTTATTATACCACTTTTGCGGTGTAGTGTGTCTTCGAGTCTAAGGATTTACGGCCGAATGGCTAGTGCTGTCGCCACGACTGTGCAGGTGAGGTTTTTACTTTGCCCCCGACAGAAAAAAATATCCAGCCTCACCGAGGATTCGATCCCAGGTATCCCACTTGAGAGCCCAGCGTCCTAACCATTCGGCCAGCCGCTTATTTGGGCAGTTACGTAGATACATATGGGGGAACCGATAGAGATATTAAAATCATCATCATCAGGTGCCTTGCAGACTGGCGTGGGCGATCGGCATGATCTCCACAATATGCGATCTACTGTACCGTGTATCAGTGCGTGCGCAGCCATGCAACGAAGCTGTCAAGCATCCTCTCTCGTTGTCTTTTCTCCATTCCTCCTTCCACAGATCTTTCCAGTGGTCACAATATGTTCTATTTTCCCTCTTCTTATAGGTTAGTTGCGTATCCTTTACAGGACGTTGCAGAACCAACCACAACATCCCCTGACCATTGCAATCTGGACGATCGGCTTTCTTGATACAACTGTCGAAACCAACGCAAGGCGCATGGCCCGCAGCTGGGATGAAACCCGGCATCCCGGCATTACAAGGCATTCGCATCGACTTAGCCTCTTCCGATAACATGACCGAAAAATGTCTCTTTCTGATATTAAAATACGAATACAAAATAAGCTTTCAAATCACTATGAAATCGAGAAAATCCAAAACAAACAAACAAAAATTAATATTATTACTAAACTTAAAATGTTTAATTGTAATGTTAGGGTTAGGTCAGTGTTGTTGTAGGGAGCGGAAACATGGACAACAACTAAGGCATTTACCAGTAAAACCAAACGGCTACCAGCGCAGAATAAATGGAATTAAACGGTGTGATAGAATCACTATTGTTGTTCTTCGGGGTGGGGTGGGAGGGGGTTGGGAGGAAATTAAACATGTTCCACTGGACCAAGAGGTGAAAAAAGAGGCTTGCATTGGCAAGGACATATACTGAGAAAACTTGAGACTAGAATGCCTTCTTACTGGAACCCACAGGGGCATGGACTAAGGGTAAGAAAAGGGGAAAAAACCCACCTAGACAAGGGAGTTAGAAAGTTTTGTTAAAAGGATATGGAGGACACAGGCAGAGCTGCATGCAATAGAGAAGGATAGAACATCCAGGCGTGAGCTGGTTGACGATCTATGCACCAATGAGGGATGGAAGGCTGAAGAAGAAGAACCATTTTGTAAAAAAGAGGGAAAAGGGGGGGGGGGGGAATGCTTAACCAACTCTTCAACTTTGGCGTCTATGTGAATAAAGTCCTACCCCCCCCCCCCCCAACTATTTTTGCCCATAACGCAATTCCCCCCCCCCCCCAACCCCTCCTCTCCCAATCAACCTAGACAGTTTTTCTAACCTTAACCACTACTAGAGAGGAAAATAAATATTTCTCCATGACAACACATGAACGAAGCATGTTACTGTTGTTTTAAGATAGGACAACAGGACATGGACGTGATTTCAAACTTAAAATAAGCTGGTAAAGGTAAAGATGAGATAATCGATTTCATTGCACCGGCTTTTATTCCATATTACTCAATCTCTCTTTCTCCGCTCTTTCTCACTCGTGAAATGAAGGGCGCCGCTGTGAAACAGTTCTATACTACTACTACTGCTACTACTACTACCACCACCACCACTACTACTACTACTACTATACCACTACCAAAAACCACCACCACTACTACTACTACTACTACTACTACTACTACTACTACTACTACTACTACTACTACTGCTGCTGCTACTACTACTACTACTACTACTACTACTACTACTACTACTACTACTACTACTACTACTACTACTACTACTACCACTACTGCTGCTGCTATTTGTTCAGTCCCATTCAACAGGACTGGTTGGAAACAACACATCCACACACTCCTTGTTTTTGTTTTTGTTTCCGAAGGGCCTTTTGGCACGTTTTGTCATGGTTACAGCTAGGCTGCGATATCTACGCCTTTCTGACCAACAAATCCTTTTTCAGTAAATGTCAAATTAGCAGCTTTTTAAAAATGAATTCTTATCAGAGGACGTGAATAGTCGTTAAAAAAAACCTGGCACTCGGTAGGTAGGTAGGTAGGTAGGTAGGTAGTTATACCCGACCAGGACATCACACAAGCGATCAATACACCGTGACACAACGTGCCTCCATGCGGATGAGGAAAGAGGTCCCAGAAACTCTTTTCAGCCGTTAGGCCGTATCTATCGCTATGCCATATTTATGGCCCGCTATATTCAGGGCCTCCGGCAAAAGCCAGGGTGGGGCTTCAAATCAATAAAAAATTATGTTTCACGTGGGAATAATTTAGTTATCATCGAAAAAGAGTAGCCTAACGACGCTGCCGGGGCAAAATTTGGAGTTGAAAGTCTACCCAAAAGTATTTCAGGACCCTTGCCGGTGCTAGGGAGTTCGTGCACAGCGCTGAGATTCTTCAGACACGAGTCAGAAGAAGAACGAAGTACTTATGGGCTACTACCCTTGTGCTATCATGTTAATCCGTAGTCTAAAACGAAAATCTACACCTAAAAAGCATGCTTACCGCCTTTTGAAGGCAATCATGAAAGAAAAAAAAAAGGATCTCACTCAAGAACACATCCCCATCCCCATAAAACCTTAAAAAAAAGATATTAATTTATCACCTTTTCTGCAATAGTCACTTCATTAATATTTGAATGATTGTTTCGTTTATCGTGAAAAAGCGTGGACAACTTTGGGCCCAGCCCCCTAGGCAGGGGAAGCTACTCTAGAGCAAGGAGGCCTGGATCTACAGACAGTGGATAACTCGAATGTTGGAGAAATTACAAGTTACAACTACACGCTTTTGGTCATGTTTTCTTCTTGCTGTTGACTTGCCATCGTTTCTAGACACACAGTAGAGAGCTTCCCATCATGTTTGGTATCATTGTTGCCGGTCGTTTGGTAGGTGGCAAAATAACCATTATTTACTTGATTAATTAATAATAATATTACTTGCATCCAATCCATATGCATCATACATATAAATGAGAATCATGATTGGTGATGATATTATTAATAATATTACTTACATTTACATAATAAATATTTCGCCTATCCTCCGACTAACGGTCGGTAAAGATGGCGGCCGCAAAATATCCTTTCGAGCCACAGTTACGTGTCATGTGTTGTAAACATTCAAAAATTGAAGTCAAAACTAATAAGGAACGAAAAAAGCTATGTCAAATCGACTACTTACCGATAATTGTATGCCCTTATATCTGGAAATTATGTCACAGACGTTCTAAATAGTGCTCGAAAATCTGCTGTTTGTGGCAGTTACGCCATTGAAACTCGGCTAAGTTGGATCGGAACAACGCGCGGCTCGTACCGCATTGGTAACGCACCTTTCTTTTTACTAGCATCCACAGACCGGCTATCCTCCGTTACAAAATAGAATAATAAGTAAAAGATCAGAAAAGAGACAAAAGGGGAGTGGGGGGGGGGGGGGTTGGGGGTTGGTGAGAGAGAAATACGTAGATTGCTCAATTCTTTTAGTACCAGAAAGTGACGGGTAATGTCCAAGGGACGTAATAATACCAACAACAAACTCATAAGTGTACAACTTCCACATGGTCATATACAACCACTGTAGGAAACACAAATGCTATCGGAGTTCTTTAGAGACTGCTATTCAACAAAAGACATAACAGTATAATAGAAAATCGACTGGTAAACATAAATAATATACTATTACACAAAGTGCATTGCGTAAGTAACATAATAATTTTCGGCTATCTCTGAACTTCGGGGACAAAAGATGGCGGCCGCAAAATATCCTTTCGAGCCTCAGTCACGTGACTTAATTTGCGGTTTTCCGGCGCCACGAGTCCCTCACGCCGCTAACGCGGCGTGGATTGGGGCTAAACTAGATGGCTAGGACTTACAAGCAAAGCTGCAGGAGATGCGAAAGCTGCTGCTCGTGGGTCCCAGCCATCTAGTTTAGCCCCAGACGCGCGGGGGAGACTCTGCGGCGAGTTTAACTTGACGGTTTGTTCCGTTTCTCGGAATTGTCAACAGACACTAATCCTAGTTTTCCCGCGATGTGTTCGTGACCGCTAGTGCGCAATTGACACGTGACTGTGGTTCGAAAGGATATTTTAAGGCCGCCATCTTTACCGACCGTTAGTCGGAGGATAGCCAATATTTCTATATAAATATTAAATATATACAGTTTACTATCAACGCTCAAGCCATTTACATTTTATTTGTGATTAACATTTTTTTAAATAAATAATGTATCATCTCCTGCTAAGACTCCAGAAATGATTCAAGATTTATAAATCACGAATTAATTAGTCTAATGGGCTCTCCTCCAAACTTCGTCCCCATATTATGGTGGCCAAACAAATACTCTAACGGGGCCTTAGTCATGTGTAAATTGCGGAGTTTCTGGTGAAGAACAAGTTGCAGCAAAACTATGAGAGGCTACAAATAGCAGGCCAATATTATCGAGAGCAAACAAATACTCGGCTCTCCTCCGAACTTCTACCCCGGCACATTATGGCGGCTAAACAAATACCCTAACAGGGCCTCAGTCGTGTGTAAAATGCGGACTTGTCCGACTTCTGCTGAGAAACAAATCGCTGCAGAACTAGGATTACTTGACAATTTCAAGACATGCAACACTGCAGACGTTAGTAGATGATGATAATTTCGAGCATTTCTGCAGACAATAATAGCGACCATTGACAGTTTCGAGACATGCAACATTACAGACAATAATAACGACATGGCGGGTAGACATATGCGCTTTGATACAGATTAGCGTTTATTTTTAAATACATCTGGAAAATTCAAATTTTTTAAAATTTGTATGGGGCAAAAGGATTTAATGTACTTTTTATATAATTATTATGATAATCCTGTTGTGTAATCTGTCTGTCTAGGGGCACCTAAAAATATTCCTTGGCAGTTGGAAAAGAGTAGCCTCACGGCACTGCCAGGGCAAAATTTGGAGTTACAAATCTACTCAAACTATTTCAGGATCCTCGCTGGTGCAGTGAAGTTCGTGCACTGTGCTGATGTTCTTCAGGCTTAGGTTTTGGGTTAGAAGTAAAATGGAGCATTTATGGGTTACACCCGTGTGCTTTGATGTTATCCGTCGAATAAACATAAACATAATCTATTTGTCTGAATATATAAAATGCTATGGGATACCATTACTCTGCCTTACGGTTTTATTATTGACACTTCCTGTTGCAACTTTTCTACTGCTGCCCTTGATCACCTAATGCAGCATAGGCCCTCAATCAGCTCATTTTGCAGAGTCATTTCTCATGTCCTCTGCATTTTTTATAACTCTGCTGTCTAGCTGCATTTTCCTTGTTTTTATTTTGGTCTACCTTTATTCTACGCCCTTATGGGTTCCAGCATAAAGACATTCTAGTTATATTGTTCAAAGATTCAGACCTTTGCTTTGAGATACAGACTTTAGCTCTTGTATTATTCCTGACATGGTCAGACAGAATTTTATCAGGTCAGTGAGACTCAGTTACTGTTCAGTATTCTTGTGTTATTCCTGACGGGTTCAGAAAGATCTTCATCGGGTCAGTGAAACTCAGTTTCCGTTTAATATTCTTGCATTATTCCTGACAGGTTCAGACAGACTTCCATCGAGTCAGTGAGACTCAGTTTCTGTTCAACATCCCAGAGGCAGACAGCATTAACCACGTGGTTATTTTTATGACGGGACAGACGCCTTTCCCTGAGGGATTGGGAGGAGCCGGTGAGTGGTCACAATTATTGGCAGCTGTCAAATGTTATATAAAAAAACTGATAAATTAGATTCTCTTGCAAAAACTAGCTCTGAATTTTTCTGAAATTCTTATACTTCAGTTTATTATAATGCTTGATTATCTAAAATTTCCTGGGCCCTTTTGTTCTATTTTCTCCTGTCCAGCTCTTACAATACAACAACTACTAGCCACCTTTCACCTATCCAGGCAATGATGTTATCATGTACTACAGGGTGGCATGCTATCATAGTCAATGGCTATGATGACTGGCAAGATGTTCCCGCATTAAGAAACATCTTCCACAATTGTAGCACAACCCCCAACTAGCATGTCGTAAAAAAGTTGACTGATTAGGTGGGTTTGTTTCTTTCAAAGTCGGAATGCATCTGCCTGAGAGGCAAGGAACCAACAGTCTGCATCATACATATAATCCAGATTTGTAAAACAGGTGTGCACATGGAAATCAAATTCTGGGAAAAGAAGACCAGAAGTGGACGTCCAACCGGAACTGTCCATGGGATTTTTCAGCGGGTATTCATTGTCATTGCAGACGAAACACATATTTGTTCTTGTCACTTGGCACCTATACTGCTGCAGGTGATCTAGCAGGTGGCCTGCGGATCATTGCCAGGTGTATTGCATTATTGATCTTTCTACGCTCGGGCTGCCAGCCTTGACGATCCCTATTTTTAAAATGTTGGCCCCTGAGTAAACTTAGCTGAATAGCCCCGCCCTACAGAGTGTGGGGATGAAGATTATTTCTGTTGCCACATTGTCCCAAACCGCAGTCATTCCTTATATCACAAATAACAACTTTTTTTCAGTCATATTAAGACAGAAAAAGTAGCAGTACAATGCTATGTAGTGCCTTAATTATTGTATGCTAAACTATTTTAGTGATGCCTTGGGCTGTGTTGCATGAAAGGGGAAAATCAGGAAGAGAAAGGAATAAGAGAGAAAGTGATTGTAGACAGTTGAAGAACTGAGTGTCTGAGAAGAAGAACATTAAACACATACAATGGCAACAGATTGATTATTGATTTGAGAATCAACATCATAGAACGCTGGGCATACCCATAGATGCTGCATCTCCATACCCATAGATGCTGCATCTCCATACCCATAGATGCTGCATCTCCATACCCATAGATGCTGCATCTCCATACCCATAGATGCTGCATCTCCATACCCATAGATGCTGCATCTCCATACCCATAGATGCTGCATCTCCATACCCATAGATGCTGCATCTCCATACCCATAGATGCTGCATCTCCATACCCATAGATGCTGCATCTCCATACCCATAGATGCTGCATCTCCATACCCATAGATGCTGCATCTCCATACCCATAGATGCTGCATCTCCATACCCATAGATGCTGCATCTCCATACCCATAGATGCTGCATCTCCATACCCATAGATGCTGCATCTCCATACCCATAGATGCTGCATCTCCATACCCATAGATGCTCCATCTCCATACCCATAGATGCTGCATCTCCATACCCATAGATGCTGCATCTCCATACCCATAGATGCTGCATCTCTCATAGCAAATATCTTAAGGTGTACATGCTAACTGTTCCCATAAAACGCTGATTATGCACACATTGTTCTCTTCCTCTCATACATCCCTTCTTGCAGGATCCACTCCTCATTCACACATTCTGACACATGTTATTTCATCAAATCTTGAGTCTTTTATCAACATTCATACATTCTGACACATGTTATTTCATCTAATCTTGAGTCTTTTATCAACATTCATACATTCTGACACATGTTATTTCATCTAATCTTGAGTCTTTTATCAACATTCATACATTCTGACACATGTTATTTCATCTAATCTTGAGTCTTTTATCAACATTCATACATTCTGACACATGTTATTTCATCTAATCTTGAGTCTTTTATCAACATTCATACATTCTGACACATGTTATTTCATCTAATCTTGAGTCTTTTATCAACATTCATACATTCTGACACATGTTATTTCATCTAATCTTGAGTCTTTTATCAACATTCACACATTCTGACACATGTTATTTCATCTAATCTTGAGTCTTTTATCAACAGTCGTTCATATATGGACTTCAGAATATCTCCCTTGTCCAGTAGAAGTATTTCTGTAGCTTTCGCTTTGTAGTCAGAAAATCTGCCCTTTAATTACCTCGTACTCCCGCATTTCTCATACAGTATATCCACGTGATTCCCTGCAATGTTGGCATACTGATGCTTGGTATCCACTCATGCCACATTAGTCCATTTTGAACCTTTCACAGTACAGACTGAGAATCAGACACAGTGGCAGCAGTAGTCCTGAAATTCTGTGCTACAATTGTGGAAGATGTTTCTTAATGTGGGCACATCTGCCAGTCATCATAGCCATTGACTATGATAGCATGCCACCCTGTAGTACATGATAACATCATTGCCTGGATAGGTGAAAGGTGGCTAGTAGTTGTTGTATTGTAAGAGCTGGACAGGAGACAAAGATGCAGTATGAGAAAGAAATGATGGCAGGAGAAATGTGGGTTCTGAAATGAATGTAAACAAGACCTTGAAGGAAGCAGTTCTTCAAGAAACTGGCGGAAACAACAAATTTATTAGAGGAATGTTACATTCACAGTCAATATTTTGTGTGTGTTATAAGGAGAAAAACCTTGAACAGTTGCAGCATTGTTGGCAAACTTGTAAGAGAAAGCGGAAGCCAGATAGTCCAATAGATCAAATGGCAGTCTTACCTGTGTAGGTTCCTGGACCCTTGTGGGGGAAAGGGGGGATGGATGAACAAACTCACTGCCTCCCTAGCGAGCATGTCTTAATTGTTGACTAACTAGGGAGTTTCCCTCGAAGTCAGAGTGTGTCTGCCTAAGAGATCAGGAACCAGAAGTCTGCATACAAATAAGGCTGATCTGTATAAGGTAGTGCATGCAAAACTCAAGTTCTTTAACCAGACTGAAATCCAGAAAGTGGATGAACAGCCAGAGCTTACCACCAGAGTTTACAGCCGGTGAGCATTAGAAGAAGGATAAGAGAAGTCAAATGGCATACCTGGTCCAAGACTCTGGTTCTGATGTGAAATGGCCAACCGTGAAATCTATACCTACCATACCGGTGTCTATTACTATATAGACAGAAAAAAATTCCAGACTCAAAGCCTGTATATAAGCTTTTCGCCATTGGCCATTGTCTTTAAAGCCTAGTAAACGACATTGGTTGTCATAGTCCCTGTACCTAATTCTTCTAAATTTAAAGTGCAACGCATCTACATCTGTTGCAGAAAGAACTTGAGCTATGTGGGATTAAATCCTGGGCAGTAAAGTAAATCCTTCTGCCTTTAAACACATATTGTAGGATTGATGTAAGTACTTTTTGGAGATGGCTGTAGTGGCTTTCCCTGGAATTTGAAACTGCAGCGAACTTGAAGAGAAATCATCTGTGGCTTTCTAACAGTAAGAACAATGTCTTCATAGTGATGCATGTCAGAACTGACACCTTACTGTATGACTAAGATACCATTGTGCTTCCGAATGTCTGCAGCCATCATAACTAACTGCCTCTTATATTTCAGTGTATTTTGCTTGGCCTCGGCCGGAGGGACCTGTCTGGACATTGCTGGGTCACATTTCAAACCAGAAACCCAGTGCCATTTTCAAAATTTCTTCTTTGAAGACAGGTGAGTCCCTGAATGTATATTATTGTGTATTTTGTAAAAATTGTTACGGTATTTAGTCAGAAGTTGGAAGTAAAGCAACAAAATGTATCTTCTGGTTCATTTTCTCTCTATCTGTTTTTTATGAGTTAAGTTTTTGAGTCCCAGGGAGTTTAGCATCAGAGAGCCAAGGTGTGGTGTATAATTTTCAAATTGGGTTCTGTCTCACCCCGTCCTCTTTCTTTATCTTTTTGAAACATGACAGCATATTTTAGATTTCTCTCCTCATCATTTAGGGTATATGCATCCTTTAGATGGGTCATGCTGCAAGAGTGCTGGGTTTGGCTTTTTGCCCATGGTATCCCAGGTCAGTTTACATTTCTTCATTTCCCCTTGACCGGTCCTTCTTCAGATTTTCTTGGGTCATCCACATCTCTTTTTCTTTTATTTTCATGTGCCATTCATTGTATAGCTGTCCTTGCCTTGATGAGGCATTCTACAAACATGTCCAAACCATCTCCTTCTCCATATTTCCTTTAATAATGTTTGCCAGTGATAAAAATATATTCTTTCTCAGTTTTTTGTTTATGATCTTGTTTGTTCAGAATATTTACAGGATTCTCCTTTAACAATAATTCTAAAAAGTCTTGAATTAATATTGAATTTCCTAACACACTCTTGCACAATAGTACTCCTAATATATTGTGTTGTATATGGAGTGTTGTCTCAGACAAAGATGGACGAACAGCCAGTCTATGACCGGCAACATTAGTTTTGAAACTCAGAGCTTGCTGCTGAGGATGGGGACGGGGCGCGTATCGAAATACCCCGAGTGCTGTGGTGTCAATTCTTGACCCAACTCAACTCAAGACAAAAGAGAGTGCAGATACAGATAAAACAAATACTCGGTGGGTGTAAACAAAGAGACATTATCCCGCTTCTTGTGTGAGGAGGTGCTCAACCATATGCCATAGTACACTAGGACTAGAGCCTATACTGGTGAGTTGAGTTGAGTCCAGAATTGATATCACAGCACTCGGGTCATTCTCATGTGTGCTCGGTCCTCATCTTCAGCAGCCAGCTCAGAGTTCCAATATTGATGGTACCGGCCACAATCTGGTTATATGTTCGTCTTGCCTTTCCTCTGAGTGTAGTGTGCCGGCCGGACCCTCTGGTTACACCCAGGTGCTTGATTCTGTCCAGGCCATAATAATCTTGTTTCTCTACTGATTCCGTTGCTTGTTCCCAAAGGGCTTTGACCACATCTGCCTTGTCATATATCAATTCACCACCCAGTGGTGCAGATCCAGCCAGTCTGTCTGCTTGTTCATTACCCACTATGCCGGCATGGCCTGGAGATAAGATCCAAAGTATGCTCACTACCCGTGACCTTCCCAGTAAAGCTTGCCACTCTGCTTGAAGCATCCCTAACTTCACCTTTCTGACATCTGTATGAATCTTGTTCTCTTTCCACCGGAGACCTGCAGTTACCAACTCCACCTCCATTCTCATGCTAGATATTGTGATGTCATGTGCTAGGCTGTCTTGCACTAGAGATTTTCCATTGGCGTTCGCTACGAACCCCCAGGCACTGGTCTTTCCTCTCACCACGAACCATACTGGTGAAGACCTGTCTTCATCACTTTATTTGACAGTAAAGTTTGTTTGTTCATTTATTTGTGCTCAGAGGTTATTGAGAGCGGGACTATTCCATTAAGTTCACTCAAGGGCCAGCATGTTGAAAATTGGGATCGTCAGGGGCCAGAGACCCCAGCGTAGAAATATTAATACAATACAAATGAATATTATCCGCAGGCCACTTAGGTCTCTGTGAGCCAGATTCCAGGCTGCCAGTTGAAAAGAGACAGGTTCAAAACTGGGAGCCTGGCCAAAGATGGGACTGATGATGTTTTTCAAAGTCGTGTGCATCTGCTTGAGAGGTGACTAACCAGCAGTCAGCAAGCACGCAGATAAGCTACATCTGTAAAACATGCGCACACAGATAAGCTACATCTGTAAAACATGCGCACACAGATAAGCTACATCTGTAAAACATGGGCACACAGATAAGCTACATCTGTAAAACATGCGCACACAGATAAGCTACATCTGTAAAACATGGGCACACAGATAAGCTACATCTGTAAAACATACACACATAGATAAGCTACATCTGTAAAACATACGCACACAGATAAGCTACATCTGTAAAACATGCGCACACAGATAAGCTACATCTGTAAAACATGCGCACACAGATAAGCTACATCTGTAAAACATGCGCACACAGATAAGCTACATCTGTAAAACATGCGCACACAGATAAGCTACATCTGTAAAAAATATGCACACAGATAAGCTACATCTGTAAAACATACGCACACAGATAAGCTACATCTGTGAAACATAGGCACACAGATAAGCTACATCTGTAAAACATACGCACACAGATAAGCTACATCTGTAAAACATGTGCACACAGATAAGCTACATCTGTAAAACATACGCACACAGATAAGCTACATCTGTAAAACATGTGCACACAAATAAGCTACATCTGTAAAACATACGCACACAGATAAGCTACATCTGTAAAACATGTGCACACAAATAAGCTACATCTGTAAAACATGCGTACACAGATAAGCTACATCTGTAAAACATGCACGCACAGATAAGCTACATCTGTAAAACATGCACGCACAGATAAGCTACATCTGTAAAACATATGCACACAAATAAGCTACATTTGTAAAACATGCGCACACAGATAAGCTACATCTGTATACGCACACAAACAAGTCCCAGAAGAAAACCAGATCCAGAAGTGGCAAATGACCAGGATTTTCTACTTAAGGCAATTAAACCACCACAGTTGCTATGGTTACCTTCAGTTTCCTAGAATATTTGAGTACATTTTTTAATTCACCCCAAAGAAAGAAAATCCTGGATTGGAAAAGTCCTATATTCTAGGGTTACAGTTAGTCTGTGTCTCTGAGGCGGTCAGGGATGACAAAGATCCTTACCCCAACCCCAGCCTCTAGAATATTGCACTTTCCTGAGAACTCCGGGATTTCCTTTGTTTGGGGTGAATTAAAAATAAAGTTCCAGTAAGTGTTATGAAAATATTCAACCATTAAAAGGTTTTATTGATCAGAATATAAAATGCTTCACAGCCGATGACATCAATGACGGACGGGTTCACTTTGGAGACATGTCCCACCAACAGTCTCACCTGGCTCAGATTGGCATCTCCGTGGAGCCGCTGGAGCAGCTGGCCCAGCAAGTTCCCATCACCCAGGTCTCAGCCCAGACTGCAGTGTCCACGTACATGGAATTCTGCACCAAGATGCTGGAGAACTTTTTCAATTATGCTTCCTCGTTTGCTGTGACCCAGAGTCAGATGACGCCCAACCCCACGGAGACATTTGTGCCTTTGAGTACTCTTAAGACCTGGTTTGAAAACTTCCAACGAAGGCTACAACAGAATCCTTACTTCTGGAAGTCATGATAGCTGTCTTGTCGCAGCACACCCTTGTTTTATCATTTCACATGGTTTAGTCATGATAGCTGTCTTGTCCCAGCACACCCTTGTTTTATCATTTCACATGGTTTAGTCATGATAGTTCGCTCAACCTGTCCTTGCTGTATTGTTTCCCATTATTTATGTCCATTCTGTTATTAGTGTATCTGTCTTTATTGTATGCTTTATACAAAAAGTATTTTATCTATTGTGTGCGCTTTTTTTGGTGTCATTTTTAATGTCAGTTCATTCATCACAGATTTCAGCAATGGTGTCAGGCACAGACTGTTAAAAAAAACAATGGCAAACTTGTAAAATTGCCTACAAAAACCACAAACAATCAACGTATGCTAGTTTTAGTTTGCAACATCTGGGAAAGGATGCACACATATAAGTGTTTGTGTATCAGTGTAAACATATACTTGTGTGAGAATTTGAGCTCTGTTCCCCACAGGAAGGAAAGGATGAGGATTGGAAGATCCAAGTCAATAACCACAGTGGCATTACAGAAAAGGAACTTCTGGCTTTTCTAAGTTGCTTTCAGAAGTAAATTGTATGACTTGATTATCTGTCATCCTTGTTGCTAGTGCTTGCTGTGCGTTTTACTTTTTTTTTTTTTTTTTGTGTGCATCTGTGGCTGTGGTGCTGGGTTCGATCCCAGCTGCAGGTGATTTGGGAGCAAACACTCTTGTGCTGGTTTCGAATGTTCAGAAGCAGTGGCACACCACTGAATATAAATTTGCCTAAAAAAAACTCCAACAGCCAAAAAATGGGCCGGGGTTTGTACTGCAATGACCTGTAAAGGAAATGCAACTAACTTTTTTCAAATTTGTGCAGATCATTTTTTTTGTCAGCAGTCAAGAGAAAATTTTGTGTCATGTTTTATTATAATCATCAAATACCTCTGGTGATCTCAAGCATCTTGCATCAGTTGATGTGCTGACATTTTTCTATGTGGTTTCAGGGTCACCTGGGTATTATTTTAGTGGCATTCACAACATCAGTGGTTGTAGATTAGCTTTGGTTGGCAGGTGGGCAAGGAGGTGAGCTGCAACAGGCAGAGCACTGCTCATCTGATCCATCATCTTCTGCTGCATGCTTATTTTTCCAAATGTATTGTTGTTACCTTTCCTTTAAAGTAAACAAGGCAGGCTTAGGGAGGAATCATGCTGTATGGGCAACACATAGTCTCTACATTTCTGCTAAAACATTTTTGCTATGGAGAGGAGTAACTTTAACCATGGCCATAAACTGTTCATTTGTAAGTGAATGTAATGGGGTAATCAGGATGTCTTGAAAGAAACTGACTCACAAAGAGAACTGCCCACATCTGAAAGAGAAGGTCTGCATTCTTTGGTCATGTGATGAGAAGGAGAAAATCAGAGTACATCGTGACAGTAGGAAAGTTGGAGGGGAGGAGAAGCAGAGGGAGACCGAGAGAACAGATGCTGGACAGTTTGACATTGTGGCATGGAGGATCATCTGTGTCAGAGTTGTTTGAAAGTACATGAGATAGATGGTTGTAGATACGCATGACTATCAGTGGCAGATTTTTGCTTCTGACGATTGTTAGACGTTGCATTTTTCTTCGTATGTAGACTGGAAAGATATAGTTCCATCACCTAGCTATTGAGTCAAATTCATGGCACAACACTGAGCTGTGAGTTAAATTTGGAATGCTTTTAGGCTGCCCGATGTAGTTTGTTTTGTGACCTGTAGATTCAGAAAATGGCATGTGGCCGGTTGCTAGAGGATGAGTAGTACCTTATGCAAATAATTGCATGTGCAACTACTGATTTGTTGTAACTGCTGCTTCCTTTGATAATAAACTTCATTTCTGGTGTCGGATTGTTTATGTTAGCACCTTCTATAACTGCCTTGTGCTGTTGAATTTGCTAAGACTGCAGTCTGTGTAAATTTTTTCACAAGGGACAGTGATGGACATTTTGTGTGGTTTTCATTGGCACAGAAATAGAGCGAATAAGGGCTGACTCATCCGCTGTGAAGTTGAAGCTAAATTTATCTAATTAGCTGGTCAGAAGAAAAAAAATGTTGCCACTTCTGGGGATACAACCCTGGCCATTAACTTGACAGGAGAACATACTGTCTGATATGCCACTGTAAGATCTCTGAAACAAAGTTTAATCAAAGATTATGAAAGATGTCAGATTGCATCTCACCGGTCTCTGTTGTTTCTCAGACCGAAAATCAGTGTGTTCGTAAAGTCTTGGTGCAGTTTTGACGTGTATACTCGTGCACCATGACTTTACGTACACAAAGTATGTGTCTGAAGACAAAAAAGGGAGACAACTTAAGCATGACACATTTATTTGTTTTGTTATAGCCCTTTGATGTAGCATTTTACATCATATATGTTATAGAATGGTCACAGTGAATTCATCAGCTATTCATATTACTTCCTAACATGAAACTGTTAGCTAGTTCGGATCTAGGTCTTGTTCATAATCCTGTATTTCTGTCTGTTATTGTCATGCAGTTAGTCTGTTTTGTTTTTTAAAAAGGGACAGGGAACAGCGGTGGCGTAGTAGCTAGACTCTTGCCTGTCAGCCCAAAGCCCTTGAGTTCCAAACCACAATAAGTCTATTTTTGTGTCTGGAAATAACCTTGACTCCCTAGTTTTACCACCCTATAATGGCTGAAGAAGGTCGATTGTTCAGATCCTCTCATAACAAGATTTTTTTTCAATTATAAGCTTGGCTTCTTAGTGGACCCAGCCTTAAATGGGTACCAGGTGAAGTTCTGGGAAGTAAAGGTGGCCAGCATGATTTTGACCGCATCACCCATCGGGGGCCAATTGTTCTGTAATAATAGGAGTCTAGCCTCATTTGCCTGATGCACTACTGGGGTGTTATGATGGGTACTGGGTAATGCCCTGGGATGTAAAGGCTACTAGCAGGATTTTGAACACATTATCCACTGACTGCAGGAGCCCCCATGGCGGAGCGGCCGGACGCTTTTTGCGGATCGGAAGGTGGTGGGTTTGCTCCCTGGCGGAGCCAGACTTTTTTCAAAAATGACCTTGGCTCTCAGGTTGACCCAGCCTTGAGTGCGTACCGGGTGCAGTCCCGGAAGTAAAGGCGGCCGGCGTGATGCTGACCACATCACCCATCTTGTGCCGATTGGTCTATACAAATATAGGTCTAGCCCTATATGCCTAAAGCCGTGGAAAAGGGTCCTTTACTTACTTGTATCCACTGACTACAGATTGGTCTATACAAATATAGGTCTAGCCCTATATGCCTAAAGCCGTGGAAAAGGGTCCTTTACTTACTTTTATCCACTGACTACAGATTGGTCTATACAAACATGAGTTTAGCATCGTATGCTCTATCTGCCGCTGAATAAAAAACAAGGTTGAGAGGGGTCTTAACTTTTTTGCTTTTTTATGTAAACATTAAAGAGCTTCTACATCAACATGGAATGACAGCAGCCAGTACTGCCTATCAAGCAGTGGATTGCAAACTGTTCTTTCCCACAACGCTTAATGACAGAAGTGGAAATTGATGATGAATGTAAACAGAACTGTTACTTTGCTTTTTGATGTAAACAAAACTGTTAGCCTCTGCCTATATCTGTTTCTGCTTTGTTGGTGAGTGTCTGATTTGCACATTAGTATCGCTAGTTTGTTGCTTTGAATGATTTTTTTGCTTGCCATTGTTTTAAATTCATTGAACAACTAAACAGTGCTCAAAACAATACCAGTTTCACAACTATAATCTGCTGTGTATTTTACATCTGAAACAGAGAGATTGTAGAGACTGTATGGAGACCAGGTGGAGAGACATTGTAGAAACCATATATAGATAGATTGTAGAGACCATATATAGATAGATTGTAGAGACCATGTGGAGAAAGATTGTAGAGACCTTATTGAGAGAGATTGTAGAGGCTGTGTGGAGAAAGATTGTAGAGACCATGTGGGGAGATTGTAGAGACTGTGTGGTGAGAGATTGTAGAGACCATGTGGAGAAAGATTGTAGAGACCTTGTTGAGAGAGATTGAAAAAACCTTGTTGAGAGAGATTGAAGAAACCATGTGGAGAGAGATTGTAATTACCTCATGGAGACATATTGTAGAGACCATGTGGAGAGATATTGTAGAGACCATGTAGGGAGAGATTGTAGAGACCTTGTGAAAAGATAAATTGTAAAGACCATGTGAGGAGAGATTGTAGAGATGCTTTGGTGAGAGATTGTAGAGAAAATGTGGAGAGAGATTGTAAAGACCATTTGGAGAGAGATTGTAGAGACCATGTGGGAAGAGATTGTAAAGACCATGTGGAGAGGGACTGTAGAGACCATGTGGAGAGAGATTGTAGAGACCATGTGGAGAGATATTGTAGAGATCATGTGGAGAGAGATTATAGAGACCATGTAGGGAAAGATTGTGAAGACCTTGTGAAAAGATAAATTGTAAAGACCATGTGGGGAGAGATTGTATAGACCATGTGGAGAGATATTGTAGAGACCATGTGGAGAGAGATTATAGAGACCATGTAGGGAAAGATTGTAAAGACCTTGTGAAAAGATAAATTGTAAAGACCATGTAGGGGAGAGATTGTAGAGACCATGTGGAGATATATTATAGAGAAAATGTAAAGAGAGATTGTAAAGACCATTTGGAGAAAGATTGTAGAGACCATGTGGAGAGATTGTAAAGACCATGTGGAGAGAGATTGTAGAGACCACATGGAGAGATATTGTAGAGACCATGTGGAGAGAGACTGTAAAGGCCATGTTGTGAGAGATTGTAGAGACCATGTTGAGAGAGATTTTAGAGCCCATGAGGAGATAGATTGTAGAGACCATGTGGAGAAAGATTGTAGAGAAAATGTGTAGATAGTTTTAGAGACCATTTGCTGCCATGCAGTATGGTCCCCATTTCGGCCCAACATGTTTACTCCAAAACAAACACAAATACGTTTGGAACGTTAGCTGCAGAAACTGCATGAAGAGCAGTGCTCTTTG